GGTAAATCTGGTACTGAGTATCTGCATACTCATGTCTAAGTATTTGTAAGTTTGCCATGTTTGAGCAGGAGAATTCTCATATAATGCCTACATGACTTGTCTGCTTACCTTCAAGTCAGATGCTCTAATCAAAACAGGATTTGCTTGTTAATTTTATATACTTGTTGATTTTTATATCATGAAAGGAGTTACACACAAAGAAAGAAATGTCTATTATATAGATAATTTACTTATTTATGCCTACTGATATATACTAATACTCAACATGCAGGAGAATCAGTAGTGATATATCTCAGAATCTACCTACTTACTAAGAGATACTAGCATATTTCCCACAGGGGCTGGTGGTTGTTCAAGTCCATGGAAAAAGTCAGGATTCTGAATGCTGATTTCCCAAGTAGACATAATCTATCCACTCAGAAGATTGACGCAATATGATTTCCTTCCCAAACACTTTTCTACCATTTGGCATTATGCTTAGTAAATAGCCACTCATAAGATACTGGTGATATGGATAAGTAGCAGGGAAAGACATAATTCAGCTACAACAACTATTGAAAAGAGACTCTTCTCATCACAAAAAGAAAATTTGCTCAAGATTTTAAGTGATATTTATGATACTCAATGCTTTTCTGAGGAAAGTTGTCTTAATGATGTTGCAAGAGAATGCAAAATATATGATGTCATCCAAGTGTAATTAAATGAATGGGTCTTTCTACATTACATTATTCAAGAACATTTTTAGTAGAAATAGGTTCTTACAAAAATACATGGAATTTGGAGGAAAAGGAAATAGGAGCCAAATAAGTAAAAAATTTCCACTCAAAATGTACTATATATTATCATTTCATCCCAAGCAAGGCTCAAATACCATTAGTATGAAGAGGGTTACAGAGAGTGAAAGTGAGAGAAAAGACTGAGTATAAGGAGGATTGAAGAAAGGACAAAAGATGAACAGGATTCAAGAAGGTAGAAGATGATGATAGATATTGCAATTAAATTTTTGAAGATTGTACTTATCAGGGAAGCAAGTAAATGAAAGGGAGTTCCATAGGTGGGAAGTGGGAGAAAAGAAACTGTTAGAGTAGAAGTGACAGTTGCATTTAACTATTTCAACAGTAAAAGGGTAGGATCTAGATGCTAATCTAGTAGCATGCTTAAATTCATATAGTTGGAGTATCAGGAAAAATAGCTCGTCAGAGCAGTTGCCATGAAAATATTTGTAGAAAAGACAGAGAGAAGCCATACCACATCACTGAGAAAGTGACTGAAGTCAAGATGCAAAGTCAGGATCACTTAAATTGCAGATCCTTCTTTGAATCTTGTTAAGAACCTCAAGATGAATAGCAGAAGCACCAGACCAGATATGGCAGCACTATTCCATGCCCAGGTGAATGATTTGTAAATGTGCAAGACGGACTATACAAAAGCTATTCATAGACACAAATCTCTGCTTTATTTATATTTTTATTTTACAAAAATATGAAAAATCTCCCCAGCATATTTCTGGCCAGGGATTTTAATTCAGTTAATGCATATCACAGATGAAAAGTATTTCAAAGGAAGAGGCTAGTGATTGGTTTGGGGATTTTTCATGGGATAAATCTTTGAGACAGGAGCAAGTGTACTTATTTCACTGTAGTTCAAATTAGTTTTTGCTTCCCTTAAGTTTTAGCATTTTATGCCAACTAATGAATTATACAGTGAAATTTGATCACTTTCTTTTGAATTTCTGAATCCTGCCTGGCTTTTGCAATATTTATAGTAACTAAAATGAAGTTTGAGAGTTCCAAGCTCATCTTTTAATATAACCTAATTTGAAGATTATTTCTACCCCTAACAATAACTTAAAGAGCAACTAGTTAAAGAAATTATTCAACAATATCAAAATTAGAGTAGATATTACACACAATATTGTTTCCTGGACAGTATATACTGCATTGTTTTTATCAAGTATGAATAATAAAAAAATGTATCTTTTATGATAGTTATATATCAGAAGACATTTCTTCAACCTATCACATAATTACATATCTAATTGAAAGACTCATCTGTTTTATTAGAGCATAATCCTATTTCCCACCTGAACCAGAAAATATTTTTCTACATTTGAATTTTTTCCAAAGTGGAGTTTAGATGTTTTCAACTGCCAAAGTTAAACACTATCAATCAGCATGCACATTCCTTGAATTCTTCTCCACATCACCTAAGCCAAAAGTTATCTATTTAAGAGCTGGAGTCTGAGGTTAGCTATAGCCATCAAATAGTCCTGCTTTCAGCTCTACAAGAATTTACTGCAAGTCTATTACATGTATTCCTTTTTGATTTTGCACTGTTTTTTTTTTTGGTTTTTTTTCTTGCTTAAGATCAAACTACTACTCTCATACCATCTTCAAATGTATATTACCTGTACCCCATCTCATTTATTCATTCAAGTTATAGTTTCATCCCATAGTGTGACTTAGACATTCACTATAAAAATTTACTGTCCTATTTTAACTTAAATTTATCAGTTTACAAAACTTTATGCAATGCTGAAAATTTAGTATTTTTTCTGATATGTTTTTTTCAAAGCTTTTATTTATATACAGTTAATTTCATTTACACTAAAGGAATAATGCAGTATATTTATTACTTGGATATTTGTTTCTTTTGAATTCCAATAAAAATACTTTACATTCTTAAACTTAAATATATCATCATTAAACAGGTTGAAAATTCAATAAGATTGCATTACTTCATATTACTTTTTTCAAAATTAATTCCATTTCAAAATTGCATATGGTAATATAATTTATTTATATTTGATAAGTATTAACATAAAGAACTGAAATTATTCTTTAAAAATTGTCTGAGTAGATATAAGAAGATTATACTGTAAATATTGTAACTCTTTACTTCATTTTGAAGTTGGAGAGCTGAGTTTAAATTCCAGTTGGGTTTGTTATATTCATTTACATGCAAATACCCTTGGGAAAAGTATGAATAGAAAGAGAATTTATATTCTATCTAACTAATAACACACAAAGACATATTCATCAAATAATGAACACATTTTAATTCTAGTTATTCATAAAATGTAAACAAAAAGATCAGATAATGCTTATTAAACAATTTATAGAGCTGTGCAAAGGAAGGCGGTAAAGGAATGAGTTGTCTACAACAGATAATTTTACAAGAACAAAAAATGAAAATAAATCAATTAGCTACTACCAGTCATGAATGGACAAATAAAGTTCAGCTTCTATACTAGGATGTAATTATAACAGATAATGAAACCCAATTAGAAAGTATAAAAATAACAAACAAAGCACTAATAGAAATATCTATGAGAAAACAAAAATCAAATCATTCTAAAACTGCTGCTACACAAGTCTACAGGATAGCGAGCTAATGTGTTCACATTATTCAATATATTCATATATAAACAAGCTATGCAAAGAACTGTATTTGAACTTGACATTTCCTGTTATTATAGCAATGTAATCAATATTTTCATGAAAAATTAAACATGGTTGAGTTAAATTTAGTTTAAAAATGATAAACCCATATAAATTTAGATGCTTGATTACCACATATGAGTTACTGAAACTGATCAAAGAATATAATCGTTGAAATACTGAGTAATGAAAATAACAAAACTGAAAAGCTGAAATAAAAATCATTAAATTATAATACATCAGTTGAGCAAATGAAAAGCAAATTTATAACATTTTTTTATTCAATTCTCAACATCTTTATACAATAAAGATCATTTTTAGACAAAGCTAACCTTTTTACAAGCAGGGATGGATTATCCTTTAGGTTAGTATAGGCTGCAGCATAGGGATCCTCATGTTTTTATAAAGCAAGGATTTTAATTTTCTAAATGTTATAACTTCTAAATAGTTTCATAAACTGAAATGATATCAATATAATAAACTCATATTTCACTTTGAAGAAAGCAAAGCTAGGAAAAGAATGTTTTAGTTTATGTAATTGTAAGGATATAACATGTTTGATTTTAGTTCAGAATGTTTAAATCTTAGAAATTTTTATAAAACAGTGATTTTAATTTTCTACATATTACATTTTCTAAATAGTTTCATAAACTGAAACGATATCAATATGACAAACTCATATAAATTTTTATTGTATTATTGTTATAACGCTAGTTATAAAAAATCCATTTTGTTACTACAGTTGTGTTGAAATAATTTGGTTGTAATAAATAGTAAAATAGTGGAATTTCTTAAAGAATATTTTTATTGACAAACAAAAGATAGCTATTCTAGTTTTTCTGAAGACTTTGCAATAAGTTTACTTCAAGCTATGTAAATGTCGCTAAAATATATCACAAGTAAAAATATTCATGGTGTGTGCAGGCTAGTTAGAGTGTGGCACCAACTGACAGGTGGGGAGAATTTCATTAGCCTAGGTGACCCAAAATATCATAATTTGGCTCTGGTCACAAGGTCACATTATTGAAGCACTCAGCAGAGAATGAACATCAGTAGTTTGCAAGACTTGCATGCTAATTATTGTTCAATTGTTCATAGTGTTTTTTCACACACAAAAAATTATGAAAAGCATAGCTAACATATTTATACATTTCTATAATTTTTCATACAAAAATCAGGAATTTATCCATCATTTAAACATTTTTTTAATGCCATAAGTCCTAATGCCTTGACATCTGCAAAAAATTCTATCCAAACTCTTCTTTCAATAGAATCAATAAACTGTTAAAATTTTAAAAAGGCCACTAATAAAATCTCCAGAAGCAACACATTTCATTAAGAGAAAAAGCAGAATAGTAGAGATAGTTCAATCAGGTGTCTTAAATCTTCAGCTAATAAAAAGTTTAAATGCTATTGTTTCACAAAACTTAAAGTTAGAGAAATTAATGATAATTTGCTTCAGTTGTTAGCTCTTCTAATATACACTCAAACAGATACCAATTGACAGAAGAAGTAACAAAAATCTTTGCATTAAGAGAGAAGGAGAAAAAAAAAACTTACATTTGGTATGTCCTTTTCAGAGATTGGTTCCTTTCGTTTCAGTGCTGCTCCAAAAGTAGTATTTTCATTTTCATTCTGTAAAATAAAGACAATTTAAAAGTGAGTAATTATATTAACTAGAAACAAGATAAAGATGATAAATATTTTGATGATTTTTCATTCAAAAAGTACATTGCTCAATTTTTATTTTCAAACATCATGGAACATGATTTTTTTTTAAGATAAGCAAAAAAAAATCTTTTAAAAAGGATTTGAATAAACAATGAATGATTTTTTAAAAAATAAATTTTAGGATGCCATAGTAATTTTTAATGTATTAACAGTCATTTTGATTTTTTAACATTTTTACAGTCAAAATACTGTATTCCAAGGGGCAGTATAAAGGAAAATAGTCACATTTAAACAATGTGTTTAAATACTTTATAAAGATACATAAATACATGAAATAAAATTTATTGTAATTGTAGTTAATTGCACATTTTCAATTCCAGTAAGTATGAAGGAGTTGGTAGTCTAAATGCAGTAAACAAAAAATGAAAATCCTCATCAAAACTATGTTAATTGAAAAATGATGTTAATACTGCAAGTCAACACTGATTTCAAAAAGTGGACTTGTCAGACAATATGACAAAAGGATATCTACAGGATCTGAATGTGGATATTACTATCAATATGATCTTAAATAAAGCAAATACCAATATTGCAATAAAATAAGTTTTGAAGCTGTTGGAGGTTTCTGCATTAAATCACATATTCCATGTAATATGAAAAGCAGAATTTCCTCCCTAAGTCAGTTTAAGAAGAAAAATAACTGCTAAAATATTGTTAAAGTACCATTCTGTTATTCTTGGACAAATAAAAAATAATCTGATCTTAAAAAATAAAGCTCTTATTGCAAATGTTACCTGGTGATGGCTGAGAGTATTTGCTTCCATTTTAAATACTTTGTCTTTAACAGAGAAAATATAAAAAATGGAAACAATACATGAAAATTATCAATACTTATTCCAGAAAATAAGAAGCAATTTGCAACAAAAAATATTTAAAACAATAGTCAAACTAAGATGTTTATTGCATGATCCTTTTGATGAGAAGTTTGAATGATTATTTTGTTTCATATTTTTAGTTCACATTGCTTTAGAATTATATTCTTGCCTTGAAATATGAAGAAATCAATGTGAAAGTAACTTGAAATGTATCCTAAATATGGCAGCAAATAAAACTACCAAGACTTTAATTCAAGTAAATAATTTTTTTTAAGTTCCTCTTTATTTAACTTAAACACCAAGCTCATATGAATGTACTTAAATTCAAGACCTTTAAATAATGCACTTAAACCTTTTTCTTACATAAATGGCTAATGAGGAACCAGTTCTCAAAATTTGCACTTGAAATATATTTCAATATCAAAAGTTTAAGTCAAACATCAATTGTCCAACACCTGTATTATTTCATATTTTCTAGATTTATGAAGTTTGCACAAGAAAATGAATTAAGATGACTTTTAGACCAATAAATTAAAAGAACTTTCATATTTTTTTTCTTTTGTACAATATTACTCACCACTCTGGCTACTGATCATTGCAGAATACACCAATCAAAATATAAGGGAGTAAAAAAGATTGTAAAAAAACAAAATATATTTCCTCACATTGTAATTCTATTACAATCACTCTGTAGTAGAGATTTTGTGACATATATTTTGAAATTTTGTTTTACAAAAGAGAAAAGAGAAAGGATAAATAGGTGCTGCAAATATGATGTAGATTATTCAAAAGGAATCTGTTTCAAAGAAAAGATTAAAAAGCAAAAAAGAAAAAAATGACACACATAATACTTAGTAGACTGAAGAGGCAAACAAATAATTGCAATGACTAAAAACTATGATTAACTTCAGTTCACAATACTAAATATATAAAAAATTTCATTTTTAAAAATACAGAGATTTTACTTCGAAATACTTTTAACATCTTTTCTGAAAATTTTATGAAAGAAGAAATTTTTACATTAAAAGAAGTGAATGTTTGAAGTAGAAAATGTTTTAAGAGTCTGATGAAGAAAAAGGATTTAAAGGAGCAGAAAAGAAAAATAAATAAGAAAAAATGGATAAGTATTTTCAGATCCTTTTTGAAGAATTCTGAAGGAGGAAGCTTTAATTTCATGCTTAAAAACAAGTGTTTCAAGCATCTGAAATAGATCTAAGGATGAAATATCATGCCACAGTAATGTCAGGCAGTTTTAGAATGAAAAGTTTCTCAACTTATCATGCATGAAACAGAATAAGAACACAATTCTACTTTTAATTCAAGACTAAGAAAGAAATTGATGGCTCAGATGCAAATAATGAAAAAATGAAAGGAACCAAAATTGACACTTTTAAAAGTAGAGTATTGTTTTTATTCCAAATAATACAAGTTGGCAATACTGGTAATATCAATGTTATTTTGGCCGTGTTAGTTAATTTTACCAGATTTTTAGCAAAATTTGAAACAATGATAGTATTAGATTTGAATACATATTAGTAGTGTGATATGAGTTACAATGGTTATTAATGGGAATCTCAGTGAGAACAGAAACATTAAAAGAAGCAGCATTTCTAAAGTTAAGAATAATAAGAACAGTGCCAAAGAGGAAAGTAGCAAGGAATGGTGTCAACAGGGCAACAGCAGTGATGATGTCAAGTGGATAGTAGCAAGGGCTGAGATAAAGTAGCTGCAGAAGTGGTGCCCAGAAAATAATGTTACAGTTAGGTGCTATCAGTGCAGTGGTGGTAGTGGTGGTGGTGGTGGTGGTGTTAAGGATTTACCTAATGACAAATGGAAATCTTTAGATAAAATGCAGTCTTTACCAAAAGTGACATTTTCAATTAAATATTAAGAGGGGGACTCTAAATAAGAGGTAGGTGAAAAGAATGGCTTTTAAAAGAATAAGATAAGAAGAAAATAATTGTATAATGAAAAGGAAAATGATAATGTTATTGATGCGATTACAATGCAAAAAGTAACTGGTGGGTAGGGGTTCATGTGAAGAAAAAAAATAAAAATTGTTTAGTGAGATAATTCAACCAATTCATTCCCACTAATCATAGAAACAGTGGTGAAGGATAAAAGTCTATAGTTTCATAGTAAAGAATTATCAAAATTTAAAATCAGAATTCTTTGTTTGGAACATATGGCAAAGGTTGTTAAATGTGAATTTAGATGACTAGAAAATCTTAAGAAATAAAACCCAAATCTACAAAAGCAATAGTTAAGAGTGAATAGGTTCTGAAACTTCAAGATACCCACAGGAAAAAATATCATAATACAATTAATACTAATTATGAGAAAAATTTAAATAACAACAAAGATGATTAAAATATATTTAAAAAGGACAGAAATAGAACTTGATTGGCAGAGTAGTCACAATAAACAGTTGAATACTAGACAAATTCTAACAAAATTTTATCATTAATTTTTTAATTTTATAAATTTTCAAAAATCAAATCAAAACACTCACTTCTCATATAAACTCTCTAATCAAATAATATATTTTATGTATTTAATATTAACAACTTGGAAGGTATTTCATGACACATTCTGTAATTTATTGTAGTATCAATTTTTTTCCATAGCAGAACAGAGTTACACATTTTTCTGAAGACTGAATACATTTAATTCTTGTTTAAAATTACAACTAAAGATAATCAAACTTTTTGTTCAGCAAACACTGTTTACCCCAGGCTTACAGCTAGATCACATTGAAACACTGGTTCCCATACAATCACTGAAGTTAAGAAACATTGAGCCTGGTCAGTACTTAGATGGGTGACCACTTCAGAATATCAGGTGCTGTAAGGTTGGATGTGCAAGTTGTGAAATGGATAATGGCTCAGAATTGTTTATCAGGGAGTCAATTTCCAATTCCCATTGGGTTTGATATATTTACATAGGGAAGATATGAATCCACCTATTCTCTCTCCAGCTATGGGTTAACTAGTAAGACTTGTATCATTAAACCATTATTATCACCAAAAGAAAAAAAAAATCTTACAATCTAAAAATATTTTCTGGCTTTAAATAACTTGCAAAAAGTTGATAAGCCATAGAAAACCCAATCAATGAATGTTTACTCCAGGAACTTAAACCTATCTTACTCTTCTCACTAAAGAAAAACTGAAAATGTTTATGGTAACAGTTAATAATAAAAATTGTTTAAAGCAAAGTGTTTTCTTATAGATTATAAATTTTATTAACAGTGGTATTATGATGATAAAAATGACAATGTATAATTCATGTGCTTATTTTTCCATTTGTTATTCTCTATCTTATTTTTCATAATTAGTAATAGCCAAATGTTTTCCTTTCATATCCAACATTTCTACTCTATTAAATTTACTCTTCAAATTCAGTTCCTGATTGATTATTATAGAAATGTCATTATTAGCTTGCAGGTTCTTTTTAGATAAGAATAGTCAATATTGTTCTCTGGAGAAAGACCAGGATGCAGACAGAACTCCAAAAATAGTAGAATAACCAAAAAGAGAACAGGATATTTTTAAATTTCTACTCATTTTCCATACAATGCTGAGAATCAAGTTTCAAATTAATATTATATATGTTTATGTTTTAAAAAAAAATTTCCATATCAATAAGTAAATTTCTTATTCCAGCCTTTACAAAATAAAACAGACAATCAATGTTATTAGATTGGCCAATCCAAGCATTACAATAAAAATCTCATTTCAGTCATTCATGAAAAAATAATGAAAAACATTCCTTATAAAATATAAAACAAGCTGTTTTTATGAAACAAAAATAAAGTACTAAATAATAAATAATATAACCAAAAAACCCAAGCAATACTATGTGGTCTTTCACCTGTATAAAGAATTAAAAAGGTCAGATAAAAGACAAAACAGAAAAATTGGCACTAGCAAGAAAAATTCAGAGAGAGTGCTTCAGAACAAATAGCAAGGAAGCAAAAGTTTGGGAAGAGGACCTAGGATGGCTGAGAGATAGAAGTTAAACAAAAAGAAAAGAAAAAGAAAAGAAAAAAAAAGGAAGAGCAATTAGCATTTAGTGCTATCATGATTT